ACGATAGGTGCAAACATCTCCCAGCTCCCTCTCCTATCCCCACCTTTGTAAAACCGAAGAAACTGAGTTTTGAACTCAGAGGGTGGACCTGGAGTTCAGCTCTCTGCCCGTCTGGATCCTAAACACTGAGACTGTGTAAGGGTTATTTTCTCTCACTGTCAAATGGGGACAATTCTAGTTCCCAAGATCACATGGGATAATGTGCCCAACACTAGGAATTTTGGAGCTGAAGGGACTCAGATCCTAGTCCAACGCCTTGAGGGAGAGGCCCCTGAAAATCCTTCCTGCCCACTTCGTGAGAACTGAGCTTGCTTGACTCAGAAGGGAGGACAGGGAACATGTCCCACTCTAGACAGCTCAGAACCCTCCTAAATCTGGTAGGACTTTAGCCAAGGCTCCCGCTCAGCGAATGGGGTGGATATCACCTGGCTCTGTGGTTAGGAGGGTGGCACTTTCCCCATCTTATAGATAAGACAGCTGCACTGTCCGGTCGGGCTGTCTGCAAGGATTTTCTCGAGTTCTGGTCCCGCCTTCCACCACCCAGCAGAGGGCGCTCTCAGGGCATGGCGGAGGAGCGCCCAGGAGGCTGGTACGGCTTCGGTTTCTGCGGCTTCGGCCAGGCGCTGGGCTCGGGCCGCACGCGCCAGGTCCACAGCCCCGAGCCGCTGCGCGCGCCGGAACTGGACGCCGACACGTGCCGCGTGAGCGCGAGCTGGAGCTACACCGCCTTCCTGAGCCGTGAGCGACCCCAGCTGTCCCTCTCAGGGCCGCGGCCCCGCCCCCGGCCGCGTGCCCCGCTCCCTAATCAGTTCACTCTCCGCACGTGCAGGTGCCGGCCAGGTGCAGCTGTCGGGCTCCACGGGCGGCGCCGCCGCGAGCGGCTTCCGGGACGTGTGGGCTTCGGAGACCCTCCTCGTAGTGCTGCGCGACGGTCGGGGACCTGGGCCCGGGGCCGAGCTGCAGGCCTGGGCGCCCAGCTCGGCGCTACGCGGGGAGCCCCTCTGGGCCCAGACCGTGGTGCTGGAGGCCGAGCGGGAAGACGGACCGGGCGGGGAGACCCCGAGCCAGACGCT